CAAGTTTGGAGTCCTTAACTACCAGGTCTGATTTATTTCGTGGACTTCTTGTTATTTTTTGACAACAATTGACTGAATTTCTTTACAGGCTGCCTTCTTCTCATTAACCTCTCACGTCGGCACACTTTTCTTGAAGTCTGCTTCTAAATGAACTCTATCTTTTTTGAGCAATTGCAACAGTGAGGCAACAAGAGTTGAACTAATGGATATGCTTGTCTTCCAGATGTTGATCAACTCTTCATAATTGTTCACAACTGCTAGGTAAGCTCACCCTCTACAGCAATTTCTCATCCCTGGACCATTTGGCCCAATCCCATTAGCTATTTACAATTAGATGTCGTGCTGGGCCACAAGCCAGTTCAAGGCAGCCTCCTCAATGTACACTCTGTTAGCCTTCAACAAGTCTCTCACCTCGAGGGCCTCCTTCGTGACCACATCGGCCTTCTTACCAAGACTCTCGGTAGCCTTCAACAAGTTGTCTCTCTCCACATCGGTAATGAAAAGAAGACTCAATCTCTCCAAGTCGTGAGTTTCAACAAATTGCTCAATCTGCTGAGGGTAAGCATACTGGAAGTCCACAAGTAGACCATCTGAATCTCCCTTCTGCTCTCCACCAATGACAAACAATTGCCCATTTCTATACTGTTCGCTGAAAGCGGTCTGCACAGCCTTGGCATAAACCTTCTTGGGTAATTTGGTCAGCCAGTCGTGAGGAGCCTTGATACCGTGGGCCTTCAAGCCGTTATCTCTGATGGGCGAGTTAGCATCACCAACTCTGGCCCTACCAGTACCCTTCTGGGGGTGCAATTTTCTGTTGGAAAATGGCTTATCTCCTTTTGTTGGGACGTATCCAGAGCCAACACGAGCTCTGTCAGCTTCAAAAACTACCGCACTCCACAAGAAGTCTCTTCTGAGCGGCTTGTTCAAGAAGTCTGTAGGATATGGAACGACAGTGTGGGGCTCAAGAGAGGGAAAGCTCCGAAGCGATGCTAGAGTGTATTTGGGTGGCTTGCCGACCAGCAACAGCGCCTCCTGGACGCCTGTGGCAAGTGATCTGGCGAAGGATCTGAGCATGATGGTTGAAGTTGAAGACTGTTGTAGATTTTTTCCTAAACTATTGTGGGTACGCACGTGCCGTATCACGTGGGTACAACCCGTCTTAAAAAGAGGATTTATTATGGGAAAGTGTCCAAAAAGGCGATTATTTTCAAGGTATATCAGATGTACAAGGACTTATTGTCCTGACGCATTACTGTCCTGACGCTTTGTGTGGTGTCTATTCTCAATATTCCCTAAGGTGGACATGAATATGGCTGCGAAAAGGTCACCAATCTGCAACACATCAAACGTATCATCATACTTTTTAATCTCGATTTTCCAGACAAATTCTCTTTTTAAAACTCATTGTAAATCTTTCTGTCTATAGGCCCTATCTCAATGCCATGCACGGAGACTCATGTTCTTATCACTCCGCTAGCATCTACACTTCATTCATACTTCGTTTACCAAAACTTTCCTATGCAACTTGAATATTTAGTCACCGTAACTAGCGGCAGTTTTTGAATCCCTTTTTTTCCATGATGGCTTCATGTCTTATTTTGGCTGTTCCTCTTGGTCTGGCAATTCGTCGTCACTTGCGATGATAAAGTCGTCCTCCTCGCGTCGCGTGCCCTCCAACTCTATGTCCTCATATGGCAGTGTTGCGGTGTAACGCCCCTGAGGGTCACCTCCAGTCAACTTCAGGTAGGCCCTGGCAAATATCGAGCCCTTCCCGTCAGTAGGACCCATGCCCAACTCTTCTTCCTCCAACTGATCTGCCCACTGGACATTCTTTTTGCGGTTTGACAGCTTCGTCTTTATAATAGAGGCAGGTCTCGAGCGATAAGCCAGGAAGAGAGCACACACGCCGTAAATGAGCACGATTATTACTGCAAATTGGATAAGGCGAACAAGTGCGTTACTGTAGTGGTTCTCTGAGGAGTCTGCTGGAACCGTGCTGTTTCCGCTGGCAACAGGAGAAACGACTGGAGACTCAATGATGCTAGACTCTTCAGGCTCCGTTGGCTCGGGCTTTGTTGGTCTGCTGTCCTCCGCTGGCTGGTTCGACAACTTGTGTGTGACAAGTCTGGGCTTCTGGTCTTGCTTCTCATCGAGGTCGTAACGAGCGTACAAGAGATCAACAATGGCGCTCAGCAACTCAGGCTTGTCAAATGGGACCATATGAGAGGCATCAAAGACATTAACGTAGGTCAAGTTGGCCTCGCTTTGAATGTAGCCGCTCTTTTCATCCTCATGGAACCAGTCGTACGTGGGCAACAGCTCTGAGAAGCCTTTCTTTCCGTTCCAGTCAAGGTCTTTGATAAGATATTCGGCACCAATGTAGTTACAGATGATGTCTCTGTTACCATGGAAAAGGACAACCTGTGTCTTTTTCAAAAGGTCAGGGAAAAGGTCGATGGCAGGCGGCACACTTCTCGAGTTCAAGTGGCCACCAACGTTCCCTCTGCATTCCTTCCAATCAATACGATTGATCAAATTCAAGCTCTTCTTAACGCTGTCTTGTCTCAAGAAAGGCGTGACATATTGAAGGTCAGGAGGCCAATGCATACCACACAGCGGGAACAGATCCTTGAGGGTGTAATCGTACATGTTGAAACACTGCTCGTTCTTGGGACCGTGCATGTAGCTCGTGTACTTGAGCATCATGTTCATGACGTTATCGCAGGTTCTTGTGGCCAAGTCTGCGGCAGCTGGGGATCTCGAGGCTTTTGCCTCGGCAACCCTCTTCTGACATGCTTCCTGGCGATGAAGAAGATCTTTGAAGTTAGGGTGGTCCAGTGAAATTATGCCCGCCTGAGTTGCAAATGGCAAATAGGAGAGGCCCTGCGTGTATGGATCGATGAAACCATTGCCGATCAAGAGGCCCTTGACATTGATCTCAGGCATGCCCTCAATCACACGGTTGGCAATGTATGGAATATACTGACCGGCGTAACTCTCGCCGGCAAACATCACGTCGTACTCCTTCTCGTCGGGGAAAAGGTCAAAGTACTTTGTCAAGAAGCGCTGGAAGTGCCACAGGAGATCGTTCAAGTCTGTGGCCCACTCGTCTGAGTAACTGAGGCCAGTTCCCGCTGGCTGGTCCACAAACACAATATTGGCCTTCTTATGCCACAGGCCTTCGTTGTAGACGACCTCTTTGTTCTTGTTAACACGCAAGGGACCAGCCTCCATCAAGGCCCCATCCATGGACAGACAACCGGGTCCTCCATTGAGCCAAAAAATCAATTTCTTCTCTGCCACTGGCGCCTTGTGCTGGTCCTCGAATTTCCAGAAGAAATAGTGTGTATTATTTTCATCGTAAAGCTTGAGCTGTCCAGCGAACATCACAGGGATGTCCTCCCCTTTGATCTTGAACAAGCCCGGCAAGGAGGAGACATAAAAATCATCTCTTTTATCTCCAGAGTTCTCTGAGAGCTCTTCCCGAGCAAAAAGAATCGGATTAGCCAACGCCGTAAGCACGAGAAACAACAACGCCCACATGGTAGGAGTGGTAGGTGGTTGGGAAGATTTCGGTACTAATTGGTGATCTGGTGCGCCCCGCGGCCTTGGCTTCCAGGAATGGAAAGAAGCAAGTCAAAGGAGAAGGAGAAAAGGGCGGAGTACGTTTTTCTTGAAGAAAAATGGAAAAGAAGGTGAAGTTATCGTTGATAGAAGAATTACAGTTTATTTCTGGATTCCACCTGCTCGGACCTCCGGTGGCTTGGTTCCGTCTTCTTTTCGCAGCCATCTGAACCCCTCCTGTGAAGGGGATAAGCCGTGGTCGTAGGGGATACAATTTTAGGCAATGTTGGTTTTTTTGGTTTGCATTATGAGGGTGAAGCTTTCATAAGTTTTTGTGTTTTGCAGGCTGTGCTCGATGTTCTGCGGGTTCGGCAGTTGTAAGTGCCGAGGGTCCTTTGAGATCAAGAAGCACACATGATTTTGTATTTCTCGAGAGCAAAGAGATTAGTAGCTTGTTATTCGATTTTTGAAAAGAGAAGGTTGGTTATATGTATTTTTGCTGCCTAGTGTTGATTGCTTTTAGAGTTGTGAACTCTGATCTTGCTTATCTTGGGTAGACTTGCAAGAGCTCGAATTCACAGAGGTGTCCTCTGAAGAAAGTATAAACTTAAGGTTTGCAACAAAGCTGAACCTTTCAACGTAAGCGCAAGAGTGTGGGCCCTTGTTCTACAGACCAGAGCGGAATTGATCTGGAAACTCCGCTATTATTCAGAATCGAGGGGCTCTTTCCAGAATACATGCGCCATGACGTGCCTCGGAAATTTAGATATTATACAAGTTATCGGAACTAGAGACACTTATAGCGGTAATAAGGTTTCCCTTCATTACTTAAACTCTGTCACTCTCGGGTTCCCCTACGATGGTTGTGAAAAATTCTAGCTCCCTTATCTCATGTGAGCTGCCTTCTAAGCCACCTCGATAATTTCAAAGCCACTCAACTAGAGAAAGATACTGAAGAGACTCAAGTCCTCTTAGTATGGTAAATGACATGCCATAAATCTATTCAGCGTTTTTTTCTAAATTGGGAAACCAGGATTAGGCGTTGTGAAGAATTGCACAGCCTATGAGATCGCTATTGTGGGCACATACGCAAATTTCCTATATCGCGAGAACGCAAGTATTAATAGGTCACCAGGTGAAAAAGACCGAATTGATGCCGTTTTCAAAATATTCGTATCACCACGCATTTACGAAGGGAATGAAACGCGATTTGGCTTTTTTCACTCACGGTGGACAATAGGTGATTGTAGATCCCTTATGTATCGAACCGTGCAACAATAGACCGAGAAGTATGAGAGACTGAGTATTTTGTGAAGCTGTTGAGAATCTAGTCTGTGAGGCGCTAATTCACAACGTTAGCCCCGCATTACGACATGATACATCTTAAAATAATAGTATTCGTGGGCACAAGGATCAAATGGTGTTCCGTGTAAAACTTACTCGTTAAGTGGCTCAACATTCCAGATGTTCTCGGCATACTCGTCAACGCATCTGTCAGAAGAGAAAAAGCCCATGTTAGCAACAGACAAAACAGACTTCTTGACCCATCTGTGCAAATGGTCCTTGTCCGTCAGATCACCTCCGTGGTGACCATACACTTTCTCCAACCTGTCTTGACATTCCAAGTACAAGTCAAAGTCATCTGTCACCAAGTAGTAGTCACCATGCTGAGTGATGGAGTCTATCAAAGGTCTAAACTCTGATGGGTCACCGAACATACCCAGGTTGATGGCATCAAATACCTTTTGCAAAGTCTCTGGCACCTTCACACCTTCGAAAAGATGCTTGTGTCTGATCTCTTCAACAGACTCGGCCAAATTGCCGAACAAGAAAATATTCTCTTCTCCAATCTCTCTGGTAATCTCCACGTTAGCACCATCAACAGTTCCAATAATGAGGCCACCATTGAGCGAGAACTTCATGTTCGAGGTACCCAGGGCTTCGGTTCCAGCCGTCGAAATGTGGTTTGACAAATCAGAACCAGGGCAGATAATCTCAGTCTTGGAGACATTATAGTCTGGGATGAAGACCACCTTCAATAAGTTGTCAATCTCAGTATCATTGTTAACTACCTCACCCACAGTATTCACCAAGTGAATGATGGTCTTGGCCATGTAGTAACCGGGAGCGGCCTTTCCACCAATAATGGTAGCCTTGGAGATGAAATGTTTCAATTTAATGTCATCAATGGACACACCCTCTCTTTGCAACTCCTTAATTCTCAAGTACCTGTAGATTGTTGCAAAGATGTTCAACTGCTGTCTCTTGTATTCGTGGATACGCTTGACCTGAACATCGAACATAACAGTAGGGTCCAAGTCAACATCAGTTTCAGCCTTCACAAGAGCAGCGAGTTTCCGCTTATTGTTGAATTTGATAGCATCCCAACGCTTCAAGAAATCATCGTCATCAACAAACTGCTCAAGCTGCTTCAAACGGCCCAAATGCGTCAAGAACTCGTAATCCTTGTCGTTGAGTTTCTCAGAAATCAAAGCAGCCAATTCTGGATTGGCCTGGCGCAACCATCTTCTCGGGGTAATACCGTTAGTGACATTGATGAACTTGTCGGGACCAAAAATCTGGACAAAATCCTTGAAAATAGTCGTCTTGATCAACTCGGAATGCAACTCGGCAACACCATTAACCTTGTGGGATCCAATGATTGCCAAGTAGGCCATTCTAACGGACTTGGGCTCACCCTCTTCGATAATGGAAACACGGCCGAGCAAATCACGGTCGTCAGGGAACCTCGACTCAACGCTCTTCAAGAAGTAGTAGTTGATATCATAAATGATCTGCAAGTGACGAGGTAACAAATTGCCCAAAACGTAGACTGGCCATTTCTCCAATGCCTCAGACATGACGGTATGGTTGGTGTAAGCGAATGTTCTGGTCACGACAGCCCAGGCATCGTCCCATGGCAAGCCCTCGACGTCCACCAAGATACGCTGCAACTCAACAATTGCCAAAGTTGGATGGGTATCGTTCAACTGAATTGCCACCTGCTCGCTAAATTTGGAAAAGTCGCTCTTGTGGTTCTTCTTGTATCTTCTGACAATGTCGTGCAAAGAAGCTGCCACCCAGAAGTACTGCTGCTTCAAACGCAACTCCTTTCCCTTGTCAAAGTTATCGTTAGGGTAAAGAACAGAAGTGATTGATTCTGCGTTTTGCTGAGCGGCAACTGACTGCTGATAGTCTCCGGCGTTGAACTTGTTGAAGTCGAATTCACTGGTGGGTCTAGCGTTCCATAAACGAAGGTTGTTGGTGTTGGAGGTGTTGTAACCAGGAACAGGGAAATCACAGGCCACAGCAAGAACCTGGTCACCACTGTTCCACACTCTCTTGGTTTCTCCAGATGCCTCGTCGTATACCTCCTCGACATCACCGTAGAAGTTCACAGGAATCTGAATTTCGTGACGGTCGATCTCCCAAGGGTTCAGGTTTTTCAACCAATAGTCGGGCGTTTCCACTTGGTATCCGTCGATGATGCGCTGCTTGAAGATACCGTACTGGTAGTTCAAGCCGTAACCCCAACCAGAGTAGTTTCTGGAAGAAAGGGAGTCTACAAAACAGGCAGCCAAACGGCCCAAACCACCGTTTCCGAGACCTGCGTCGGGTTCTTCCTCAAGCACATCCTCGAGGTTGAATCCCAATCCACCCAAAGCTGTTTCCACGGTCTTACGGCCTTTCAAGTTGATCAAGGCATTGTCCATGGCTCTGCCCATAAGAAACTCGAGCGACAAGTAGTAAACCCTCTTTCCGTTGTGGATCGTCTGTTTCTGCTGGGTATTGGCCCAATCCACAAGCAAGGTGTCTCTGATAGACTCCAGCGCCGCATGGTAGGCAGCCATGGCATCACAATTGTACATGTTTCTGGCCAAATTGAACTCCACCTTGCTAACAAAGCTGCGCTCAAACTCGTCGTTGGTAATTGTGTTTACTTCATCCTTGGACTTGTGAAGTTTGGAGTACTTTCTCCAGATGGCCTTAGCAGACTCAGGGATCTGTGCATCAAAGGCAATGATCTGGTTTTGAGTGAAACCGGTATTGGTTCTTTTCAAGCGGGGATGCGGCATTTCTGCCGGAGTAACGTAGTCTCCCATCTTCTGAAGCAAATTTGGAAAAAAGGTGAAGAAGAGAAAAGGTGGAAGGAGTGTACGGGCGGTCTATAGAGCTACTCCGGGACCGAGACAGCGCGGCGCCAAATTCAGGTGGCCTGACATAGAAGGTACCTCCATAGTGAGGGAGGAGCCCGAAAATGATATAACCTTTTTAGATTTTTAAAATTATATGATGCCGATATCTGCAATTGAGTGGTTTTTGGCAAATTATTTCTCAAAAACGTGCTGGAAATGTGGACCTCTGGCTACCCGTGTTCTGCGGAAATTGGTTGGGCGCCCGCGCTAGCCTGGGGTAGACAGGACAAAGTGCCTTTAAAGGCGGAGAAGGAGTTGATTTAGGTAAATTGAGGCGCAATTGAAGAATTCTGTATTTATGTGTTATGGTTCTTCTCTCGTTTTGAAGTTTTCTGTGCTTCCTTGAATTTCCTCGTATCTATCCTGAAAATCTGGGTGCATCTGCAGAAGACATGGGCGGTTGCAATCCTGCGGCTCGGAGCGATCGGAGCAAATATTTCAGGGAGAATGTCGACCAATTGGGTTCTACAAAGTCAATTTTTGGTAATTACGGAAAAATCAAAATCCAAGGATTGAGCGGTAGTCCTTATCCTTTTTCAATAAAGCGGTGAAACTCCATTACAGTGGATGCTGCTTGTGGGGCTCCGAGCCGCGGGGATCTGCTACAATGGCACATTTAGTGGAAGTTAGAGAAGCAGCGAAAAGGAGGTTTCAAAATGTTGGATTATTCTCGCTGTAGCTCCTGTGGGATCTTCCAGAATGCGCATTGTTTCTGGAATTCCCGACTCGATGGTGTCAATGGCTTCTACGCCGCCTCGTGGCCTGAGGTTGAGCCGCATAAATGCAGCCCAGATTTCGCAGCCAAGGCCTCCAATAAATCACCAAGGTCTAGGGATGCAATTCGGGCTAGCTTTGTGTGTGTGGATTATTAAGTCGGCTTTTGCTGCTTGAAAAGTCACGTCAAAGTGCTCAATTGGTGCTTGTTGGATCTCACGGTTAAAAACCAGCAAAGTGGTGGTGGTATGATGTCTCCTTGTGCGCAATCCGCCCCAGATTCTGGTCCATGTGAAGAGACGATGGTTTTAGAGCTCAGAGGTAAGTTTGGTGAACGTTCTTAGTTAGAATAATGTTTGTGATTACTTAGTGTTTTTGTGGACTTCTCTGATTCGGGTTCTCTGGATGTCTGGATCGAAGTGGAGTATCATAGACCACACACAACACTTTGTAACTGGAACAAGAGCTCCCTACTTGTGAATATACTTTTGCTGGCTGTATTATGAACTGAAGACTGACTTGTTGGCTAGACTTCTTCCACTTCTCTTGTACTAGTACATCATGTTTCAGATCTCTTGCACACCTCAAACACTAGCCATGACAGTACCGTAGAAACCTCCAGCGTCCGATTATTGACACCTACTCGAGTCAATGAACACCCTTAGCAACAGAACTTCGTTTGTTCTCCCAGAAGAAATAGTACAAGATGCACTTATAGCACAAGACTTTCTCCATTTAAATGAGAAAGAACCATACATCAACACTTCGCCTCATTCATCTTACCTTCAAATCTCAAGATGTGTATTGGAGTTCAATGAATCAATGTTGAACTTGAATGATAGCCTTCTCGATCCATACTTTGACTCCCTTGCTAAAAGCTCAGATAGTTGTTCGTCTCAATCAACTATTGATGTGATAGAGGAAATCACCTCCTACGAAGCGACTCCCAGATTACAGGTAATGCAAAAACCTCTGCCAGAAGAAACCGAGTTCAAATGGGATTTACCAGAGGATGTTGCGTCCTACGAAGCGAGACTCAAGCAGCAAAATTCCTGGAAAAGCAGTCAGAAACGCCTATGGCGGAACATCTGGTGGAAATTCACGAGCAAGGTGGAGAGGTATTTTGTCTGTTGAGGTAGGAAAGTCGGCCACGTTCATGCTGGAATTCATTATATGTAACATACTAAAAAAAATAGAGGTTCATCATTTGCACGTTTCTTGACGGATTGTAGAAGATATGATCAACTCCTCATTAGCTCCTATCATACTGATAATGTCGCCAACTACGGCTGGAAGTCTGGATCGGTTTGGCGACTGGTGCTTGATTCTGGACTAGGAGTCAAATCTTTAGCTTCTTCCTCTTCCTTCTTCACAACGTCCTTTTCTTCTTCTTCTTTGTTTATGCTTTCATCTTTTGAGATTTCCTTTTTTGGCTGTTGGTCCGTCTTCTCCTCAGACTTCTTATCAGTCTGTGCTTGACGTCTCCTGGCCTCAAGAACAGATAATGTCGGACTGTCTGGCAAGGGCAGGGAAACACAACTATTTCTTAGTTTCGAAGTTTCAAGATTAGGTAATGTCGATACTTCCTGGTCATTTTGTGCATCAGTTTGTGGCTCTTGAGCAGCACCTTCAGAAGGATTCATTGGCACATCCGGGTTATTCGGCAAATTATGACCATTCACCGTCTGGTTCGGCGGATTGACAAAACTCGAGTAACCGTTATAATAATTATTGAATTCGTGGTTCCCATTGGTATGGCTCGCTGGAACTTGCGGTTGGGCCACCGTCATGCTATGGCGAAACCCCCCTCTCTGCCGGTAACTGTAATACGGAGGCGGTGGCCTGCTACTGTTAATATGGTAATTCAGATTGTGATACCAACGCAGCACCTCCACCGTTTGCGGCATTCCAAGAGGGTCTCCAGCTTCTGTTGTGTTGGGCCAAACATGAGGACGTTGTGAAGTGAGCAGAGTGGCAAAGCACCTGGACTGATTGCCCTCTATGACTATGTACTCGAGTGTTCGACCGTCAAAGTAGGAAATGTAGGATCGTGGCTGGGGCAAGTTTGACATGTGTGGAAGAAGGTGTTTGTGGTGATGGCTGCAAAATGCGGTAGTAGTATCAGCAGCTGGATTTTGGTGATCAATCCCAGGATTCGGCCACTATCATTGCTGAGTGGAATAAACTAAGAGTATTTCTTTCGAATACTGGGTTGAGACAGTTGATTATCCATTATATCAAAGACAATTGAGTACTATGCTTCGTGCTGCAGTAAACGAGATACAACGAGCCTCCATTTCAGAGTCAGTGGGCAATACCAACCCAGCTCTCTATTCAGTCCTCATCTGACCAAAACAAAGGACAGGTATCACTATGAGGATCAAGCTAGCTTTAACCTTGTGTTATGTCTTGTGAATCCTGGTCCCCTTGCTCAATGATCTGCCATGATCGTCATACTTTTGGCTATTTCCCTTGATTTTTCTGAACTCAGCCCCCAATTTCTCTGTTGATAAATAATATCCCACAGAATATTAATGTCTAATTTCCCATGCATCAAACTTGCTACATTTGGAGATTCATACCCATGATTCGAGACTCTCAGACATCGCTGAAACAATGCAGCCGCTACACTATAAATTCACGCCATATCCTCTGAAGTAATCCTCTTAATTTTGTCATAATTCTTAAGTTATCTTCTCCCTTTATTTTACAGTTGAACAGCAACTAGTTTCTACTACTTTCAATCTAAACGATGTCAAATCAGACTCCACCTGGCGGCTTGCCCAGGCCTCCAAAGCCTCCAAGACCACCAAGACCACCACGAACCCCAAGGGAGCCAAGAGAGCCAAGGGAGCCTCGCGAACCAAGACCTTCAAGACCACCGAGAGATTCCAGACCCCCAAGGCGTCCGAGGGCATAGCTAACAACAGCTTTCAATACCAATGAACCGTCAATCAACAGGGAGAATTTTCCAGTCCAAGAAAGTACTTCCATGAATTCGTCAACATTGGTATAAGTGTTGGTCCTGGAAAGCGATATAGCTGGCCAGGGTAGGCTGCACGTCAACGAATGCTTCGGAATTACCAACTTATCAATGCATTCACAAACTAACATACTGTAGTATCACTTCAAAAAAACTTGCTCCTCCATTTGTCTAGGTAGCACAGAACTTTGACACCCTTTCGTGTGGTGGCTTCCATCGTGACATCTTTTCGCAGCCATTCTTTATTGAACTTCCATCACCACTCACTACAACGAGGTCCAGTCTGCTGCAATTATTTTACAAAGAATCTGGTTCAATTCCTTTTGACTGACTACCCTTTCCCAAAGACCTCACTCAATTCTTCCCTATGCGCCTTCCTTCTCGTCCACCCCATCTCTACTAGTCGCGCTCCACGAACTATCTCATCTACCACATCTCTTCCACAGAACCACCCATGCTTTCAGCGCTAGCGGTGGTGCTGCCGTCACACGCTGTCGTAGGCACCACCGAGTCCTCGCTAGCGCTCGTTCTGCTTGAAGACGCCCTACAAAATGCCCAATTCGCTCAGTCCAATCCCAGTCAATCGGGCCCACACCTGAGTTACCTGCCCAAGGCGCGCCAGAACTACATAGGCGGAAACGAAGACTCCCCAGGCCCCACAAGCCCATTGCAATTCTACGCCCCAAAGAGCTATTTTTCCAAAAAGTGTTCCTCCCTGGCTGTTTTGGACGTTTCCTTTTGCGACGCCACCAGCACCGTTTTCGCCGCGGCAGGGTCCACGGTTCTGACGTGGGACGTAATTAAGGCCCAGCGTACGGCGGTGTCGCGGCCTTCGGCGCCAGATCTGGCGGCAGCGTGCGCCTGGCTCAGTCCGCACTGCGCTGTTTCTGCTGGCGCCGCCTGCGCTGTGAGCTTCTGGGACACTCGCGCGGGCGCCCGAGCGGTGCATCTGGCAAAAGTGGCTCGAGACAATTTGTACGCTTTGGGCGCTGCTGAAAACGGTATTTACGCTGGCGGCGCCGACGGGAAGGTGCAATTTGTCGATTTGCGGAACGAGGTCCACGAGGAGCTTGATTTTGGGCGCCACGGTGCTGTTGTGGGCATGGACACCGAGGAGTTGGCGGTGGTGTTTGAGGACGGGGCCGTGCGAATGGCTGCAAATGGGGCGAGAGAGGCCAGTTTCTGCAGCGAGGCCGTGGCTGCGAAATCGCGGGTCGGTTGCGCTCTGCTGGAAGGAACGGTGGCTGTTGGCAGCGAAAACGGGGTTGTCAGGCTTTGGAAGGGGGATAATCTAAAGGAGATTGATGTGCAATTGGCGGTGTCGTGTTTGGAGTTTTGGGATGATGACCTTGTGGGCACCGCTGGAGAGTGTCTCTGGAGGTGGTCGCAGGCCGGTCGCGGTGAGACATAATCGGAATTGCAAGATCGATATAAGAGTTGATTTGGCTGTGAAGTGCGGTATGATTTCTGAAGGTCAATTCAAATTGAAGTGAAGTTAAGTGTTTTTGCCCTTCGAGTGGTGGAGCAGGTCTCGCTGTCTCGGGATCTGAACATGTCGGAGATTGAAAATGTTCTCCTCCAATTTACGTCAATTTGGCCCCTCTCAATTGGAGCAAAAAAGCTCTTATTCCCCAATGACCAAAATTAAACAGTCAAACAAGGCACTGCGCCGCAATCGACGCGACTGGCGGCACCCACCTCAAAGGATAATACCACCAACCCTAGGTAACCGTTAGTCAAAATATTGCTTTTGTTCGGAAGAGAACATTCAAAAATTCATATAATTTATTTTTAATTCAGAAGCAAATGTAGTGTAAATGCCCCTTGCTTTCATCCTTCGGTTTCGCAGCCATCTGGAAGAATCACTTCACAATCCCGCTCTCCAATCCTATCAATCAAAATGTAAACAAACAGTCTAACTTAACAAAAGTTATACTTTTCATCTCCACACTCATATGTCTTGCCCAAATCGATTAGTTCTCTTTTATCAGAATCACAAACGGTCATCCACATTGTGACCTGCATTCGATACGCGAGACCGTTGTTTCTTGATCTTTTGAATATGCCTGAAGCAGAACAGATGGAAGCAAAATCGGATCTGACGCTACAAGAAGAGCTTGGATTGGCACCTAGAACGATTGTTCTAGCCAAGGTTAAAGGCTACAGAGCTTGGCCCGCTATGGTGCTTGATGAAGAGATCTTACCAGACAACATCAAGAAACTCAAACCCAAGTCGGTGAAACAGCAGAAGAAGACGCTGCCGACAATTCTCGTGCCTGTGAGATTTTTCAGTGATGACACTTACATTTGGATTAGAAACCATGACCTAAAAGTGCTCCTGGATAACGATATACAGCTGTTTTTGGATAAACACTCCACGGCAGGGAAGAAGAAAGACGAACTTCTTGTCTTCGCGTACGAATTGGCACAGAACCCTCCAGACATGAATGAATTCAATTTATGGGGATCGAGAGGACCCCCAGATCTGGACCCTGAACCACCTCAGAAGAAGCTCAAGTTGAAACTCAACCTTAAGCCGAAAGATAAAAAGGGTAAGAAACAAGCACCTGCTAAGCCAAAGACCCCAAAAAAGCCGAAGGTTGAACGCTATTCATCCTATGAAGAATACGAGAAAGATCTTGAGAACGCAAGTGAACCGGAGAATGACGAGTATGGCAGCGATTGGGGTCTCAATGATAGCGTGTTTGATTTCGAAACGGGCGACTACGTTTTTGATGATGAGAAAGAACAGAATGCCTTCGTAAGTGAATTCCCCACTTCGGCCGAATTGCAGGAAAATTCAGCATATTATAACGAACAATTCGAAATAATATTTCAGAAAGTCGCCCCCGCCTTGCTTGATGGGGAAATCTCGAACGAGAACACAATCAACAAGGAGCTTCGAGCAGCAGGAAAGCTCGCCCAGGAGGCCCCATTGGCTGTGTTTACGAAGTCTCCACTCTACAGGAGCTTGCTCGTGGCTGCTCACAAGCCAGAGGAGAAACTCCCTTCTAAAAGTGTGAAAAGCACAATTGCAAACTTGCTTAAAAATTTCTCTTTGGAGACTTGTACATTAACTATGGAAGACCTCGTTTTGCCAACGCCGCAGGAAACTCCGAACCAAACTCCTGGCTTGACCCCTGGTCCTGAAAACGGAATCAAGCAGGAAAGTGAAGCAGCTGCAGAGGTTCAAGAGTCTGACTCGAATGGCCAAGAACAACGCGATGCTTCCGAAGCAGCCAAGACGTCTACAGAATCAGTCGATCTGGTTTCCGATGTGGCACACCCAAATGAAACCGCTGAATCAACTGCAGTGGCAGAATAGGTTTATTGTTTCGGCAATATTGGTAATCCAAACTGCTTACACGCGGTATCAATTGGCGTTTCAGGAGCGATTGGCTCGTACATAATGAGCGGCTGAAGGCACCTCAACTTTTACGTTGACTACTGCAACTCGTGTCTCGATGGCTGCAAAATTCACACGCTGACTCCTAATGGCAACCTGACTCCTATTTCCACTCAATTGCATTCTACAGCCTTGTTGCTCGCCAATCAAGCTGAGTCACCTCCACTAAGCTGTGCCTCGCCATTGTCTATAATCAACCCAACATTTACAATTGACAATTGCACTCGCTTGTTCACCTCGGCGCCATTCTACGCTCGCCACGGCTTCTTAAGTGCCAAGTTTTTGAGGGGGTCCTTTTGCAGCCAAATACATTAGGCGGGTGAGCATCAGCCTCAGCACCAGCCGAGAACAAAGGGCTCTCGAAGGCGATATTCACAAGCACAAGCGACACCTGACAGCACAAAGAACCATTTATTTTAAAAATAGTCCACAGGGTCTAGACCCCAGTGTTGGACCCCATGGACTCCGCTGGCCACACAAAATGTCAACCTCAGTTGCAAAACATTCCTGCGAGGCAGTCAATCTTAACTGTGTCGGGGCTCGGTCTTTTGGCATGCCGGCCGACGCTCGAACATTATTTCTATGTCCCTGAAAACTCGGGGGTGCAGAAATAAGGGAGCATGCGAGGCCCCGGCTTGGCCTGCCGCAGTAAATCTGAGAGGTATTGTGCGTAAAATTTGGTACGGGACGTGCACAGACCGAACCTCCAAAAGGAGTTAAATTCTCAAATTCCCCAAGTCCTGTTTTGATCTTGCTTGATAAAGCTTTACCATATCAGAACGTGTCGAAGGTATGTGTTCGAGTTAAAGTATAGGGGATTTGATAGAAGCTTTAGGCTGTCGTCAGCCTACCGCAAGTATTCGATGATTTTCATTCAATCGCTGGATCACTGCTACTCAAGGTGAGACGATTCAACCATGTTACCCAATTGGGCACGAAGACCTTCCCAAAGTGGACGGTGCATCATGAACATCATCGTGTCAACAACAACCTGAGCAATGATTCAGCCGTGTCAATAGCAAAGTACCCGAAGCCCCGAGAGGGCTGGTGGCGTTGGTGGATTTGTTGTTGCCGGTGGCACGGAATTTTCGCTCAAATCCCCTTGTTATTTTTTTTTTTAGAGATATACTAACAACAAGATGTCCGGAGTGACAAACCAAGCCAAATTGGAAGGCAATGATGAGCTTGACTCTCAGGAGCCACAATTCGCTCGAGGCTCTGTCGGTGGTGACGAGGAGGAGGACGACGAGCCCACGGGGGGTAAACAGCAGAAGGAGAGAAGAAAGATTGAGATCAAGTTTATTCAGGACAAGTCTAGAAGACATATTACTTTTTCTAAAAGAAAAGCCGGTATCATGAAGAAGGCGTACGAATTGTCGGTGTTGACGGGTACGCAGGTGTTGTTGTTGGTTGTGAGTGAGACCGGTCTTGTGTATACTTTCACCACGCCCAAGTTGCAACCTCTTGTGACGAAGTCAGAGGGTAAGAACTTGATCCAGGCATGCTTGAATGCGCCCGAAGAAGGATTGGGCGACGAGCAAGGGGAGCAGAGCGACGGCAACTCGCAAGAGCTGCCCGACCAGAGCCCAGCTCCACCTCAGGCTCAGCAGCAGCCTCCACAGCAACAACAGCAGATTCCACATCCCCAGCAAGTACAGGCACATCAGCATCAGGCAGCAGCTGCCCACCAGCAGCAGTTACCACCTACACACATGCCACACCAGATGCCGTACCAAGGCCAAGGCCATCCTCTGGGAGGATTGCCGATCCCCCAGGGCGGGAGCTACAACGACCCTTACGGCGGTTACTTTGGTGGGATGGGCAACGGCAACATGCCCAACCAGCAACAGTACCAGTAATTTTAAAAGAGCGGAGAGATGTTCAGTTCTTGAGGGAGAGTTGTGCAGTGCTGGAGATAATCGGACAGTGAGGATGCCAGGTACGTACGACGGAGTATGGACAGGTAATTGATAATCTGAGACAGGCGATGTAGAGTAGTGGGGGTTAGGGGGCCAGACTGGGCGCTGGCAGACCCTGTGCAAGGGTCTCCTTGAAATGTAAGGTTTTGGAGGGAGAAAGTCGAGGGGTTATTGTGTTGAGGTGAGGCGGTCGGTTAGTGACTGGGGGGGAACCGGGATGGGAACCTGGGGTAGATGGAAAGGCGAAGCCATTCCAACAACTAAACATTAAGACTCCCTAGGAGAAAACCAAGATTTGCACTAAATTCTCTCTTAGTGCTGGGCACGGCAGATAAGCCCAGATAAGATAAGGTTCTACGAATTCGGAAGTCTCGAGTCAGCCGCAGGCCCAGGCCCAGTACAGCACAAGAGCCTTTGAGAGACTCGACAAGAGGCTGCTCCAGTCATTGAACTTGGAATTGTTCGTTTGTGAATGGAGCGTTGTAGGCAGAATATACGAGTTTCTCGAGGCACCCAAACGCCAAAAGAAACAAACCAAACCTCGCTAGAAAGTAAGAAGCAAATTCCCCCAGGCCAGGGATCCAGGACAGGACTGGGGAGCCTGGGCTTAAGGACCCTGCGCAGCACAAAAGAGGAAAGCTTCAGCCTCGCGATACTAAGGCGGTGCGGAGGTCGCGAGAGAAAGCATTGTCGTTCAAGGCAGCCAAGATGCGCCAAGCTGCGGGCCAAAGCTAAAATGGAGAAGGCGGTCAGTCGAAAATCTCGACGTATTGGGGGAACTTTTTCAAAATCTTCAGCGGGTGCTGCCGCCTCGAGGGGTTTTGTGAACCCCCAGGGAGCCCTGGCTGCAAGGCGGTTTGGAGACTGGAATCAATGCGCGAGGCGATTGCCGCACTACGTCGAGGGTCCGCAACGGTCAGGGACTGCTCGGGGAGCCTTGTGTGACCGAGCCCCCAGGGAGTCCAGGGGGTGAAGTCCTCCCAATTTTTTCAGAGGTTTTTCAAAACACCTGCTTTTTCAAATCTTCTCAACATTCTCTTCTCTGCCACGGTAGATCGTCCCGCTCTCGCTCTCTCTTCCTTCGGTGGCCTCGCCGGAGCCTGTCTCGTCGTTAAGGTTGGGCAGGCAAGGGGCGCCAGGCCATTATGCTCGGGCCACTATGCCTCACGCGATTCCGCATTCGCAGCCAAACCGCCCCTCCCACCCCATTCTGCGGTGCCATATAAACCGGCCCACGCCCTTTTTTCCCCCGAGTCCGAGCCGTCTTTTCACAACCTCTCAACACAAATTAGTCGCTCCCGGCGTATTCCACACCCCACTAGACTTAGACTCGAGCTTCCCGCCACAGGCACCGCTCGTCCCCGAATTTTCCACTTCCGCCAGCGCTTCTCGCCTGTTTGCGCTTTAGACACTCGGGACCAACCGCTCCAAGCTATCTCGATAAGCTGTTGTCCAGAGACCAAGAGCCAAAACCAACTCAAGGCTCGGCTGAAGATTGATCAAGTCGGCCTATCCTCCAAGTGGCATCGTTACCTCCGCCACAACACACCCTAGAGTGGACCCCCCAAACACCCCTGTCCACACACTTTTGCTACTTTGGCAGATCCTCCCATGAACACATCACCACAATTTCTGCCGTTCCAAGGCTCCCGCCGCAATTCGCTCGAGCAGAGCATCTGGGCACCCATGCCCTCCGAACGGCAAGTAGACTCCTCCGCGCACCGGGCCTCGTTGCAGCCTCGCCAGGGCAGTCTCGACCAAGGCCCAACCTTCGCACCGGGGCTCTGGGACCCTTGGCGCCCGCCCGAGCTGCCCCAGTGGGACTCTGCCCGCCGTCACCTGGTGGGCGACGTTTTCCCGGGCAACCAGTCCCAGCAACAGCAACAACACCAGCACCACCACCTCCAGCCGCCAGGCTTGCACCCCCAGCAGCTTCAAAATATGCCCCAATTTGGCTGGCCCGGCCCCCTCCACCACTCCGAACAGCCTCACGGTTTCAATGGGCAGGCATTTCTGAATTACGTTCCGCGCAGCGCTAATCCGCCCCAGAACCACTCCAGCCCCACCAACGTGCAAAGTCCGCCAAAAGAAAACCACGAGTTTCCCGTCTCAGCGCCCGCCGCTCAGCAGCAACCTGAAACGACCGCTGTCGACTCCGTGGATGCCTATTTTTCGGCCGACCCCCACCAGCGTGTCAAGGTCACGGCCGAATACCTCTCGCAGCGCTTTTTTGACGAAGAAAAATATCTTCTGGACCTGTACCAACTCCCCAAGTTTCCCGTCGAGAGCCAGTTGCATGATGCGCAACTAGTGCTCGTGGCTTTCAAGGCCGGCCGTATCGACGTCTTCTACCTCCCCAGCTCGCTCACGCAGCCAATTGGCGTGGGTGACTTGGTCATGGTGGAAGCAGACCGCGGCCGTGATTTGGGCAAAATCGTGAAATTGAACATTTCCATCGACGAAGCTCGTCTTCTCAAGCTTCTTCAGTTCTTAGAGCAGCAGGCCGCTCTCTGCGACACCTCCGTGGGCGATCTCCTGGTGAGGCTGCTCCATGGTACACCCCACGGCGGCGCCGCGCCCCCTACACTTCACTTTCCCAAGCCAATAATTGGTTTGGCCCAACACAGCGAGACTGTCCAGATCTTGAACAAGAAGCAGGACGAGGAGAAGGCTTGTCGTTTGTGTCTAGCGAAAATCGCCTCGACTTCCAGCGCCTTGGACAAGAACGGCCTGAGCCTGTTGAGCCTGCTGGACTTGAACCAGATGAAGTTGGTGGACGCCGAATACCAATTTGACCGCAAGAAGTTGATCTTCTACTATTCCACCTCGCGCAGAATCGACTTCAGAGACTTGGTGCGTGAGTTATTCAGGATTTACAAGACGAGAATCTGGATGTGCGCAGTCAACGGCATCCCTTATAAGCGTCGCCAGTCCCAGGGCAAGGCACAAGCGCAGACTCTGGCCACTCAAGGGGCTTCTAATTCTCCTCCAGGTCTGTCCACCATGCCCCAAGAAAAAAGCTACTCGCAGGCGGCAGGTGGAAAACCACGGAGCCAGTCTCAGAGCTCGCCGCAAGGCCGGCCCTATGCCAATGTTCCACGAAACCTCATGCGCCAGCCAGAGGAAAATGGCGAGGGTTTCGTGTTGAAGCTGCTTGTGGACACTCTCAACCACTAACCTCGGAAGAGGTGGGATAAAATGTCACAAACTTTGCCCCACGGCGAAATTGGTATAGGGTTTCCGCCACGGCGCTTTCAGAGCAACTCGCTCGTGCGAAAAAATGGACTAGAATTGGCGAGAAGTTGCATTTCGCAGCCATCGCCGCAGGGCCAATTGCATAAACGAGCAGATTACTTGAAAGTCAATGACAAGACCGAAGACAAGAAAGCCTAATGAGGCTCGACCTTGCCATTTTAGAAGCACTCAAGGCCACTGGATGACCCTGAGCAATTGCCTTCCTACTTCTGGCGCTACACTGTCGGTGGTAGGGTCTCGCCATGCGATGAGCTTGTTTTGCCGCCGCGATCAATGTCGACGAGTCTCCTCCACGTCTGCAATTACAAAGGTACCTTCAACTTGCACCTCCTGGCATGGGGCGCCCCACCGCATAGATGGAGAAAGAAAATAAAAATTCACCGCCCCATCTCAGGAACGACGCCGCGAGCCACGTTGGTGCATAAAAGGCAGCGATGACCGCGGTGCAACTGTGCTTATTGCCCATGGCGCATGGGCTCTTAAGTGATATGAAAATTTTGCGAAACCGGAGCCGCCTTTAGTGGAGTTTGGGGCCCAGGCCGCCCCGAGCTTTCCTTGACAACCGGCTTCCTATGACACTAGAAGGGTCCTGGCACCCACTTACGAACTAGAATCTGCTATGTTTAGGCAGCAGCACCCCTTGGTGCCTGGGTATATACAAAAGGACTAAATTTGGTATTTGCCGAAATGTAGCTGAATGTATTTGTGAAACGACTGGAGAGATCAAAAATTAGTTCTGTCGATTTTTTTTCCGTGGGTCAAGTTTGTGACACTAAGCATGCACTGGTCTGCAGCTGAAGATTGCACTGAGGGCCAGTAGCATTGCTAGTGATGTCAGAGTGTTAAACAAAATCACAGCAACTGGGTTTTTTGATCAGCGACTCGTCTAGGCAGGGAACTTCATAATAAAGCTATCTGATGTGATAAGACATAGGGATTTTCCGGACTTTGGGATTGTTAAGTGGCGACAATGGAACGAAAACGGTTTCTCGCCTGATTGGCTTGATTAGTGCCTATTCTGCTCAGCCGACATTCCAATACAGCTACCCCTGGATCCCCCAAATTGTGAGAGGAAGGAAAAAAAATTAGGAAATGGGTTTTTACCATCTCGGATTTTTACACAAAAACTATTTAAGTCGACCGGATTAAGCTGCTCCGCCATATCACCCAATCAACCAAATGTTGAATATACTCTCTTGAGCATGCTCGCGTGGGGGCCTCGGTTGGGTGCAAATCGCGATTGTGGAAGTTCCTGGTCTGGAAAAAAGCGTACAATTGCAGGGATCAGCTGTCGGAGATATTGCCGTCATTTTAATTGGGCGACTTGATGCTCAGCGGAAGATTACGCCTGGTGCCGACTTGGCTTAAGCATTGCCGCTAGAATAGCCGCTTTTGTTTTCTAATTTGGTCCGTACGCCCGCGGTTACGTAAGCAATTATGTAAGCTTAGTAAGCGATTTTTCACCGCAAACTGGGTGCTCTACACTATGTGACATGCTCAAATATTCGCTTGATACAAATTTTTCCCATTGTCGTCTTACCACAGCTCCATGGCCTCGTCGAGTATGGTCGTTTAATCAATTAGGGAGTGCAGCGCTTAAATGGCAGGTATGAGTAAGTAATTCGCAGCAGGAGCAAAAAAAAAAAAAATTTTTCTGACTCCTCTGATTCTGTCGCACAACTTAAATACCGTCGTTTTCCCTCAATCAAACAACAAACTCATCCACCATGAACTTCCAACCCTCCGACTACCTTGCCGATCTAAATCTAGAGTGGGAACTGCCAGCTCTTGAGGAGCAAAGCCTGGGCCTGATTCCCGACTTGGACGTTTTTTCCCACACTGACTTTTTCGACTTGGATGTTTTCCTGGCCGACCACCTGGCGCCCTCTAAACAGCAACAACAGCAGCTACAGCTCCCAACTCCCAAGGTGGAGCTCCCCCTGCAGAGGGTGCCATTGGCTCAGATCAAGGAGGAGGAGACGGATGGCGTTGAACCTGATGCCGAGTCTCTTTCCGCTCATGAGCCACTTTCCGTCGAAGAACTCAAGCGCAAGAAGAACACTGCTGCCTCCGCCCGTTTCAGGGTCAAGAAGAAGTTGAAGGAGAAGCAGATGGAGGAGAAGGCCCGCCAACTTCAAGACAAGTTGGGCCTGCTTGAGAAGAAGGTGAAGACACTTGAGATGGAAAACAAGTGCTTGAAGCAATTGATTTTGGAAAAGAACGAAAGGAGCAACCTGGAGCTCTTGGACCTGATCAAGAAGCGGTCGCTTGAGACGCCCACCTACTCGTTCACGTAGAGCGCCCCAAACGAGCTGACATTAGCATCGATTAAAATCCAACTTTTAACGACGTTACGATAACACAACCCCGCCCTTTAGATCCAACTCTACTGGGCATGACTAATGGCTTTGGTTGCCGTCCGGCGTGGCGGCATGACAGAAAAACTTTATATACATTTAATTCTTCAACAGAGGCTCGCACCAGTTGCGGCCGCCCGGGTTTCCAACAAGCCGGGCTTGACCTTATGGTCTAATTGATACTTACAGTCTATTTACGTAGAACATCGATTTGCAGCTAGACCAATTGATATTTTATGTTGATTTCTTCGTTATCAGGCTGCAGACGTCCTGATGCATGTCATGACTCATCAGTATGAGCTGTCATTTCTACTGACATCAGCCTAAAAACTGATTTGAATATTTAATTGTAATTTATTGATTGATAACGGGGGCTTGTATCTAACCAATGTTATTCTGGGCTTTGGTTTGGAGAATTCTTCCCAACTGTGTATTTTGTGCTTGATCTGCGAAATTCGACTCAAGCCACAGACTTTTTCCTTGCATTTGAGGAAACAACTCACATAAAAATCAAAAACATCACTATAAAAATTCGACCAATACATTAAATTTCTTGAAATTAACAGAAAAGTAACTGTATCTCTCTTTGTCTCCTTCAGTTTTAATGAAAAGTCTCTAGAAAGTGTGGGGACGGTAAACATCCATTTTTGTGTACCCACTCCTACAAATTTATCATGCTTGAGCCAAGAGAAAACGTGCAGCTGCAATTTGGCCGTCCTCAGCGCTTTTTATGGTATTACATAAAATTGAGACAAAAGCCGGCTTTGGAGATTTCATAAAGAGTTGGCCGTGAATACCCCCTTCCAAGCGTGGCACTGCAAGCTGCTCGTACACGCTTGCGGAATGAATGTTCGGTAAAGTGGTTCAACTTCAAGATGCACCTCATAACGTAGGGCCGGCTATATTCGGAAAGTCTTCCCGGAAGTATCATAACTCAGTGGCCTCGTTGCCACAAAAATTAAAAGCCAACAAACAGTTATGTATTCCTTTCTGGGTACAATTTCATGCTCCAGGATTTTGTAACTTCGGAAGCCGTTATGCGACCGTATCGTACCGATATGCACCGATACGTCGTACTTACTGATCGATGCGCTTGTGACAACTCCTTCAAAAGACGGCAGGATTTGTCATCATCAAAATAACAGAGCAAACTCACCCCAGCTCTATTCAATATTTGCATCCAATTGTTTGGCATCTGCTGGCCTCCGCCTTATCTCAACTAACCCATGTGCCATCTGCTTGACCACATATAACATAACTGAATCGAATAATGCTGTTTCCAGAACAGTCTAAGCCCCAATTATTACCCCTTCACATCAATTCTCTTCAAAAAGTAACATTTCGGTTCTTGCCGGGAAGGTGCCTCACTGTTCCGGGTGGTATACCTGCGAATGGCTGCGAAATGGAGTCCCGAGCCGCTTCCAGCAGCCCACTAGCAAACGCAAACGAAACACGCAATCTGTAAAGACAGTCCGATTTCAGTCCGATTGACATTGGAGGACCCGATATATCTCATATCTGAAAAGTGTTGATACTGGCGCCCCACACCTCAGTCCTGTCTGAACCCCAGCTTTTTTCTCAATCAACAGATACACTATCATGGCAGAACCGAAAGACAAGGAGGCACTGGGACTCCTACGTCCGGACAGTGATCGACAAAATCCAGATCCTCTGAATGCCATCTTTCATGATCCCGAGTACAATGCCGGCCATATCGACAGAAAGGACTTGAGGTCCGTATCACCTTTGGAGGTTCCCCTGGAGTCTGAGGCTGAGCGGAAGAACATAGGCCACGATTTCACAGATATCCTCAAGGAGCAGATAGATCTTCGGCTTGCTTCGAACAACCCAGCTGTGGTAATGGAGTTGGATTTGGACGGTAACATACGATACATTCTGAAAAACTGGGAGTTGGTTGTGGGTACCCAGGTAAAGAAGCTCGTGAACAAGCCCATCCTGAATATCCTCATTGGATCTTCCAGTCAGGACCTACAGGTGTTTAATAACGCCGTGGCTCAGATGATCCAGGACAACGCCTCTTACAAGGTCAAGTTTCTAACTGCCACGAACGATGTGGAGGAGAAGGATATCAACGACGTGGAGGAAGAAGATCTAGGAAAGGCTGTACATGAGTCAACCACCACAGACCCAGAAGGAGCTCTAGGGTCTACGGCAGACCATAAAAGTAGTCCTACTACGTCTGCAACAGGAAGTTTCGATAATGCATCTACAAGCTCTCAGGTATCCAACAACGGAGAGGTGATTGAACTTGAAGCTCAAGGCATTCTTATACTGGACAGCAAGACAAACCTACCGTCTTATACCATTTGGACGGTCAAGCCGTTTGTTCACATAGATATGGAGCTTACGATCCCCGACGCTCTTTTTGACCTACTAGGGTTCGGCTCAGAAATCTTCGAGGGCTATCTTTTGAGTCTCAAGGAAGCTGGAATTATTGACGAGGATTCCGTGCCCGACCCAAAGCTCATCTTGTGTCACATTTGTGAGTCCAACATTCCAGCATGGTTTATAGAGAAACACTCGGACTTGTGCATTGTTGAACACAGGGTGTCAGAAGAGCTACAATCGTGCCATGATGCTCTTGCCGATCAGCGTGATTTGATTGTGAAGGTGTCGGACAGTCTCTGGCTGCAACAATTTGAGTCTCACTCAGGCTCTCTGAGCTCCTTACTGACCCTCAGCTCAGGCTCTTCTACATCTTCGGTAGCGTCTGGTAACGTGTACGAGTACAAGGGCCTTCCACTTCCTTCCATGAGCTCAGAGGGATTATCCCCACGTGGTAGCATCCCTCTGTTGAAAACCATCACGAAGCACTCGATATTACGAACACGGAAATTTCCCTTCGGAATACTCCTGCGAATCGTGGAATACTGTGATGAGGCTCTTGATATCAACCCAGCTGACAAAGATGAAGAAACTGGAGAGCTTCAATTCTCTCCAAATACGGAGCGTGCCATTAGCGCTGTGATGAATTGGAAAGCGTTGGAGACATCAGACCCTGCCATAAAAATGATGGTAGAAGATACTCAAAGGCTGGTCAACGAAAAAATGGAATCACTCACCCGACTCATTTCGATCATTCAATATGGTGATAAAATCAAGCAGGAGGTAGACTTCTTAGTGCTTCAGTCAGTCAAAGAGACTGTGAACAAAATCAGAGAGAAAACTTACCAGCATGAAAACCCAGAGCATAGACCCAGAACACTGTCGTCAAGGACAATATTTCATCGGAGATCAACGTCCTCAACGGACTCTGGATACCGCAGTCACCGAAATTCTGATTCCTCTTCAACAACAGGCCCTCCATTTGTGTCTGCATCACCCTCTGCCCTTCCGCCGCTGCCATTGTCTCAACCTGGAAACCTTCTATCTCCACAGCCTTCTCGAGTTCGGAGTCCTCAGTCCAGGCTTCTTGGCGAGCCGTATGATAACAAACCAAGAGCTTCCTCATCAACTTCTCCACATTCCATCACTCCTCGAGATTTACTCAAGGATAGAGTGAGTCCTCTGATTGAGGAGATAACTCGCCTGGTCTCCCGACCAGCGTCAGCTGCTTCCTCTAGCTCCTCGCAGACAAGACAAAGCAGACGAGATGTCGAAGATGCCTTGCGGGATCTTGACATCACGAGGAGGCCACCCGAATTGGCCTCAGATGCATCGACGGTATCTTCACCAAGACGTCATCTATCTCCCGCTCCGTATACGGAACGCTCGAACTTGAATTCTTTTCAGAGAAACTTCATGAGTCGAATGGAGTCTTCACCGTTGAGCTCCCCATCCATGACACATTCGGACATCAATGATGAATACCAGGTTCCTCATGCTTCCTTGTCCAAGAAACGAACCAGTTCTTCGGGTAGCAACACCCTTCCTACACTCATGACAACACAACAGGGCACTCCAACACAGCACGGTAACTCTGGCTTGACACCAGGTCATAATAGAAACAGCTCATCTTTCTCAAGCAAACCTCCATTATCGCCATTACTTGTCTCACAGATGCCGTCGTCGAAACCATCGACAGGAGGAATAAGGGACTACGAAATCATCAAGGCAATTAGTAAAGGAGCTTTCGGTGCCGTGTTCTTGGCTAAGAGAAGACTTACCGGTGACTATGTGGCCATCAAGTGTCTCAAAAAAAGGGATATGATTGCTAAGAATCAAGTGCTCAATGTGCGGTCGGAGCGAGCTGTTATGATGAAGCAAACAGATTCCCCTTATGTCGCTCAACTATACAGCAGTTTCCAAACCAAGGACTACTTGTACTTGGTGATGGAGTACTTAAATGGTGGTGACTGTGCCACATTGCTCAAGATGTTGGGTACTTTGGGAGACAAGTGGGCAAAGAGATATATTGCTGAGGTTATTGTGGGCGTCAACGATTTACACACGAGAGGTATCATCCACAGAGATTTGAAGCCAGATAATCTCTTGATTGACAGCACGGGGCACCTTAAGCTTACCGATTTCGGTTTGTCAAGAATCGGTGTGGTTGGAAGACATACAGCACAGCACAGAAAAAGCTCTAGTTCAGAACATGCTATTGAGCTTTTCAGGAAGAGTATACTGGGTGGAGGCCCATTGCCTCAAAGCCCGCTAATTCCAAGTGGTAGTGGCGATTCACCAGAATTGTTACCAGCCATGCATCACAAGCGTACGTCGTCAGTGACTCCCTTTTCCTTGTCTCCAACCTTGGATCATCTCAAACACAAACCAAGCACAAGCTCAACACTCCCCATCAATCCTACAAAGATGTCACCCTCTGAATCAAACACGCACGGCTCACAAGCAAGCAAGAAAAGATCAGGATCAATGCTTAAGTCGAGCGGTACTAGGTCGGGATCTAGTAGCAGTGGCGTGGACTCACCTGGGTTGAAACCGTCCCTTCCAAGAACATCATCCGAGTCTTCATTTGCCATTGTGGACGATGATTTTCAGTACAGCCCACAACAGAATGACAATAGCATAAGTTCCTTCGCTCTCTACAACCCCGAGGAAGAAGGTGAAGTCAAGAAGTTTGTGGGAACTCCGGATTATCTTTCCCCTGAAACTATCACTGGTGATAAACAGGGAGAATACTCAGATTGGTGGTCCATGGGCTGTATTCTTTTTGAGTTTCTTTTCGGTTATCCTCCTTTTCATGCCGATACTCCTGATCAAGTGTTCAAAAATATTTTGAATGGTGACATCGATTGGCCTCCCTTGCCTGAAGACGAAGAGAAGGAAATCTGTCCACCAGAAGCAAAAGACTTGATCAAGAGACTCTTGGTATTGAACTACGAGGATCGTCTAGGATTTAATGGCGCTGACGAGATTAAGCAGCATCCATATTTCCGCCAAATCAATTGGGACACATTATATTCTGAACTGCCAGATTCCTTCATCCCAATGGTAGATGACCCAGAATCGACAGATTATTTTGATGCCAGGGGTGCTGACATGTCACACTTCCCGATTGAGGATGAGGACGCAACAGTGGACGATGAAAGGGTTCCATCCTCAGCAAAGGAACTCGAAACACATGAGAGCTACTTTGATTCCAATCCCTCCCCTCAACATCTCTCTTTACCAGGCTCACCAATGCTAGGTAGAAGAGAGCGCAGAAGCAGTAAGCTAGCAGATACCAGTGAGTTTGGATCATTCCATTTCCGAAACCTCAATGTGCTCGAACGTGCAAATAAGGATGTCATCAACAGGTTGAAAAATGAGCATCTTGAGCATAGGAATAGCTTCTCTTCTTCTTCCTCAGAGTCTACACCGTTAGGACAAACGAAGTCAAGAGGACTGTCTATTTCTTCAGCGATTGTCAACCCAGGCAGCCCATTCAAACGTCCAGTATCACCCGTTGGTAATAGGTCGCAATCACCAGTGAGAGACAAGAGTAGCTCTGGCTCGATAAAGAAGGATAGCACTGGATCACTCAAAAGAGAAAGTTCTGGGAAGAGCAGCAGTGGGTCTACCAGAACGATCGAAGAAAGGACGCTATCCACTAGACAAAGCGCTTCCTCATTAGCCAGAAACATACTTCAAAGAAACACGGGTGATGTCCTTTACTCTCCTCCAGCATCTGACCAAGAGGATAGCTCCTCTGCACTTTCCAGGGTGAGACAGAGAAGAGATAGTTTAAGAAGAGGAGGCAGCTTTGGGGGTAATCAAGTCTCAGGCAATGTTATATCCCCCGATGGATCTATGAAGTTTGGAGGAAGCGAACTAGACGTGCTATATTGCGAGCCGATTCCCATCGTCAGACACACTGTGGGTAAGCTTATTGAGAAGCAGGGCTGCGTGGTGCTCTCTATATCTGATGGTGACGATCTTATCAGGAGGGCCACTAGTCAAGTGAAGTTTGACTTAATTTTTACTGCACTCAGATTGCCAAAGGTCGATGCTATCGATGCCGTCAAATTAATCAGGTACACCAATGGTATCAATAGCGACACGCCGGTGATTGCTGTGACCGGTTTTGCAAAAGAAGCGCAAGATCTGAACATGTTTGACGCCATTTTGGAGAAGCCTATTGATTCAAATCAAATAAGAGGTGTTATTGACAAGTTCCAGTGCCACGATGTCGCTGTCGAGTCTGATCCTGAGGACTGATAAATAGTATAGATAAATCTGCATGAATGAGCTAATTGTAAAGTAGGCTTTTTTAAAATCCACCGAAGTTTATTGAGTCCCTACAATTGCAGCTGATAATACAGTTGAGACTATTGAGATACTATACAAAAGACAAACCCACCACTCTAATTTACAAACTATTTTACATGGTATTACTTGCTCGAGGTGATGATATGTCTCTCGATTTCTCTGATGCCATCCTCAGTCTGCTCAAAAGACTTCTCCACAGTCACAGTCGGTTGGTTGGGCTTGGGGGAAGCTTCCAAACGCCCGTCAACAATTTTCTGCGATCTTGGAGTCTCAACTTTCTGTTTCTTGTGAACTGGTTCATCCTCAGGACCACGGAGATAGTGTTCTCTATACCATCTCAACTGGGCGATGCTATCCAAAATGTCTGATTTAGCAGTGTGAGCTCCATTCTTGCGTGGACAGGCCTTCATGAGCTGTGGGTTATGGCGCTTGCCTACCTCCATAATAGAAGAGACATCTACCAAGCGGTAATGAAGGTGCTCGATAACCTGGGGAAACTCTTTCATCATGAAAAACTTATCCATGTGGATGGAGTTACCTGCCAACAAGCCTGTACGTGGCTCAGGAACCCACTTCTGGATGTAGTCGAGCAACTCATCCTGGACCTTCAGTAACGTTTGCTGGGGGTTGGCCAAGACCTTTGCTGTGAGACCCAGCTTACCGTGCTGGTTAACGCACCACTCTCCCATGTTATCAAGAATCTTTTTCGACACGTATACAGTCGATTCGTACCCATTCTGGCCCACGATGTTCAAGTCTCCATCTGTGATGATGCAGCAGATCTCGATGATATGGTCCTTTTCCACGTTGAGACCGGTCATCTCACAGTCTATCCAGACCAAAGGCATGAAGACTGAGTTTTTCCTTGTAGGAACCGCCCGGGCAGCTGCCACAGGGGCCTTTCTGAAGAAACCGGCTATTGAAGATAACATGGTAGTTGCGATGAGCCTTCACACAGGGAAGATGAGACGTTAAGAGTGTGGGGTCGATGGAAGAGATAGTCAAGAAGAAAGAATTGAAGAGGTAATAAGATATAAAAAACAATGAAAAATTATCAAAAAGATTGTGTTTGCAAGTCTTGGAAATTTTCATATGTGAAATAGGCGGTGAGTATTGTCGGACTCCGTTTTCGTGGGGTTGATAGTGGCTGCAAAAGTCCGAAGAAAATAATCAATGGAATCCATAAGACCCGGCAGGCATATTTAAACTTTCTTAGCCGTTGAGGAATGAACGTGGATTCTTTGAGTACTGACCAGGTTGATATTCACCAAAGGTTGACCTAACTATTACTAGAGGAGGGCATCAGGCGAGTCACTTCCACCCAAAACCCTGAAGGTACCGTTTAAAACTGTGATACCGGCTTGTCAATCATCAAAGCTTCGAACACTGCCCGGTGGTCTCGGACTTTCTAGTCTAGACAACTCGGCTTGATGAACCCTGCATCCCCGGACACAGCCCAAGACCTGACATGCTGCAGCATCACCAAAAGCACAAAAGGCACTAAAACGTCTAAAGAGCGGCCCAGCCAGGTCATCAAAAACGTTCTTCAATAAAAGTAACACACCTTACTCCGTTTCCGTCCGGATGCCGCAGAATGCCCGAGGGCTTATCAAATCACCATAAGCCTCGTGGAGTACGAGTCCTGCCTGACCCGAAAGTCGAAGTGGCAGTGGAAAGCACTACGCCTAGCGGTTTGTGCCACATTTTAAAAGAGCATTCCATTTATCGTCCAAGCTTCTTATCTACCTCTGTATCAGTCTCTAGCCTACTACAAGTGGTTCGTGGGCACGAATTGATCCATCTGGAGCCTTGGCTTCCAGATCTGGAAAAGACCGGGGAAATTAAGCAATTTCAAGCAATCCACAGTTTGTTCGAAATTGTGGGGATCTCTTATCTGTCTGCCGTATAAATGTGTCTAAGCATTTTAACGACAGGACCTCGTGACTTGGCACGGTTGATGTGCGCAGCCGTTTCGTATTTTGCTCGCTACGCCCTTCGGTTCATATCGGCACGTCTGCCGACCCGTGACTACGGTTTGCACATTGTGCAGGATATTTCAGCATCCACCTACGAATTTTTCCCACGAAACCCACGATTGACAACTCATGAGATCCTTATAATCCAGCTGATCAATTGGATCCCATCGCCTGCACCATTGGTAGCACAAGCTTTGGAAGGTGCACGAAAAAAGTGAAAAATTCGTCGGGATACCTGCCTAGTGATTCACGAAATGCAGGCTGAGACCTACCCATGACCGTTGAACAGGAACGGCTGCAAACCTACACGGCGACTACCGGGCCGAATCTGATATCATTATGCAACAACCACTATTATTTATATTCCGCCAAGTCCCTCGCAAATCGTAGAATCTTCATTTTTTATAGGCCTCCGCCCACCTCCCAGCCTCTGTTTATGAACAACCCCACCCCGAATTTCAACAGCCTTTTCACCAACTCTGCTCGCTTGCCGTTGTCTGAAGCACCTCGAAATGTCTCTTTTTCGCAGCCAAACGTGCCATCGCTTTTTGCACCCATTTCTGATACTCCCACTGTGCACGAGACATTGGCGCTTTTGAAGCTCTGGAGAGCCGTGGCCGTGGTAAAACAGCATCTCTGTGGTGATTCCCCCACCGTGTGGCCACTGTTTGTGGCCTGGGCTTTACGCCGTTTTGCTCTTTTTGCAGCAGCCTTGACAGCCCTGAATAACCCAAAGCTTCATGTTCTTCCACCTTTGGATATAGCCTGGGTGTGGCACTCACTCTTAGTGGCACCCGAGGCTTGCTTTGCCATGTTTGCCAGATCAGGATTGTCTGAGTTTTTGGACATTTCGTTTCCAATGAACCAGATTGCCGATTGCATCGACTCCAGCTTTTGCTACTTTCCAGACAAGCTTGGTGTCCACAACTTCCACGGCTTGATGGCCAACTACGGCAAAGGATACTCCTTGTCGTACGACTATGGAAGCTTCAATCCTGAAGAGGTCTTCCCTATTTATTGTCCTGTGTCAAAGAACCTCCTTGCACAGGTATCCTTGTCCCACTTTGTGTGTTCTTCATTTCTGGTGAGATCACAAGAGGGCGTGGTGACCCACCATTCCCTAGCTCGCCGTCAGAGTGATGCTGATCATAAGCTTTCGATCAACACGCCTGAATGGCCCAACTTCTCGTCTCCAGGAACTCCAGATACATCAACACCACCATCACCGCTTTCTTCATGTCTGCTGCCGATATCACTGAAATCGCCTTTTGAATCTGCTCTGCCATTGCTTCATTTGACCATCGAGGAAGACTGCTTGCAGATCCTGGGTGACTGGATCGACCACTTGGTACTTTCTCCAGTGCAGAATATGGTGGATGCTGAAAACTGGATCTTCCACCCAAACATGCATATTATGTTGGCGGCAGCCGTGAAGAGATATTCAAAGTTTTGGAAATTATTCAGCCGGAGTCCTGCGGGACAGGTCCCGGTGCCCACTCTTGATATCCGCCTAGTCTGGTACGCCCATATGGCTCGTTTTAAGGAGTACGCTGATTTTTCGCTTTACCACTCAAAGAGCATAGTTGTGCCACCCAGAAGTGGCTCCCAAACTACACAAGAATTCAAAACAACTGCAGCACTTTACCAGAAACGGTTCCACACTCCTTACTGCCCTTGTGGCCATTTAGAAGGGTCTTTGGCTTATGCCCAAGACACTTGCACACTCTCGTGCTACAGACATGTATATGAGCTTTTAGCACCCAGCTACGACCAGTAACGACAATAAACTATAAAGTATTAATGAATTGTAGAAGATGTAGGTGGATGGTACCCGCAGAGCGTAGAAATAATGCAATAAAGAACAGCAAATCGACAAACTGAATAGAAATTTTGAGGGTTCATTATCTGGGTAAGGATATCGGTCCCCTGGTCGAACTAGCGGTTGCAATTAGTCCCATAAGCACTCGTTTGATAATGGGAGGTCCGAAGTAGGTCCTAGCGATGACTATTTTTCGAATAATGTCAAATCATCAAATGAATTAAATTCAAAAAATATAAATCAAACATAGATCATTGCATGAGATCTCTTCCTGCCAAAGCCTAAACGAGCGGTCTGGAGTCCTGTCTCAGTTCTCGCGCCTACTACAATTCTTCCCATGAACAAGAGAGATACATTCTATTACTGGTACTTCGTCATCCATATTCCCGTGACCCTTGTCATGGACCTGACGATCGTGATTCCTTCGGAGTGGCAGCCTGCCTGGCAAAAGGCTCTCCTAGCCTTCCACATCAACACCAACAAGGACTTCCTTCTACGGGAATTGCCATTGTGGTTGAAGATCTCCGGAGCTTTTGAGCTCTTTGTTCAATTGCCCATCTTCTTCATTGCAGCACGGGCCTTGCTGCGTCAGTGCCAGAAGGTGTACGTGTTGATGACCGTGTATGGGTTCAACGCATTTTTCACCACGTTCTTGTGTTTGGCATATGCATGGAGGGACGGTCCTGCTCACGGATTGACCAACGGAGAGTTGACCAACTTATTGGCTCTTTACACGCCGTACTTTTTGATCCCGTTGTTCATGATGGTGGACTGTGGAGTGAGAACTACCAGGCTCATAGGAAAGGCGAAGACCGATTAAGAGAGACAAAATACCATTGAGAGTGTCCCGGAGAAGATAATCAGAGAACGGTTTGAAATGTTTGGGCAGAACCTTCAGTCGGGTGATGGGAGCAATTTCACATCAGATCTCATCACAGCCGATCTCATCACAGCATTGGGACAGGACCAATGTAACAAGACATAGTACTGCAAATGACAAGGAAAGTCAATTGAGCAGATGACAAGAAGCTCCCCATTTCAAAATTATACCAATGAGTACGCAATCTGGCATCACTTGCACAAGGCATCGCCCATGTAGTACCTATCAACCTCTAACGTCCCTTCTGTGTCCGCCTAGTCTACAGAAACTTGTATAACTTATTCATTCATTGATTGAGACATCCTTTCTAGACATCTTGTCTAGGCATCCTTCTCGATCAACAGAGAAGCAAGCTCGATGTACTGCTTCTCGGCGTCCTCCTGGGAGGTACCCTTGAGGTCCTCCCAAGCTTGCCACTTGTACTTGCCCTTCAAGTCAAACACACCAGGCTTAGCGGTGGTGTTGTCACCCACGGTGGCCTGCTTGTAGAGACCGTACAACTTCAACAAGGTGTTGTCGTCAGGACGGTTCTTCAAGTTGTTAACAGCTTGGGCCTGCGGTTAGTTGATTCCTTTTGTGGATCACAATGAATTACACACTTTCTCTTCGAATTCAGCAGATGGCATGATGGTGGGAAAAAAAGTGGGTGTGGAGGGCGTCGCTGGCTTTTTATATGCGCACGGCAGGACCCCAGAAATTGGGTTCCTGAAACCACACCACACACTACCGGCCACGATATTATATGAGTTGGTGGCTTGGATGGAAAAAGGAGACCCTTTGTTTTTTGATCAATATGGGAAATTGAATAAATTTGTAAGGAGGGGGTGGCGCCGCTGGTGTGATGGTCTGCTACCGTCTCTTGCCCTGAGATCGCCATTTGCTACCCACCAGCGGGGGTCATTTCGACATCTAACATTTTCGGAATTATCCGGAATCTCAACGAATTGTGGGGACTTTTCAAATCATAAACGTTGTTATTTTCGACTTTCCAAGGTTTTCGCCTCGCTTCGGCGAACAATGGACCGTTGGGCCATCGGGTGTTAGTGGGGCCTGGCTGATCTGGGCAAACTACCAGACCGCGGTTGTGCCAAGCACCGAGGATCACCACAGTGCCTCAAATCCTGGTCATCTTCCGAGAAAAAGCTGATTTAATTAATTGAAGCTTCGAGAGCTTGAAATCATGCATTGAATAGAATTTTGTCGTGCAAAACGAACTCGGAGTCGGAGATTTTCGGACACATTACCACGGCCTCAGTATACGACCGCCACCGCCACCGCCACCGCCACCTAAATTCTTAGCCTTGCTGGGAGGACAGCTAAAGAATTGAGGGGGCTGTTTTTGAATCAAGGTTCAATGGCGCCATGTGGCAGGATCAGGTAGGAGTGTTCCTAAGGAGGCGACTGTGGCGGAGGATTAGCGTACCTCAGTAAGTTCGATGAACTAGACTCCAATCTATGTAGACAGCTTCTCTTGTTGAATATCCATTCGGGTGGTTACTTATTCTTGTGGAGTGAAGCAAAGATGAAAAAGCGAAAAAGCGAAAAAGCGAAATCCATGTAGTTATCGGTGACCTCTTAGTATGGTCACTTCCACCTTAGACAGAACACCAACGTGCATCGATACCACAAACTGGAGAAAAGTGCAATAAATGCTCTGCCATAGGTCTATAACCAATTGTGGACTTTTTTTTTGTCCATGAATTGGGTGCCTTTGCTTTTAGCAGCTTGACTTGAGCCCATAAAACCCTTCTCAACCCCAATCCGATCAATGAGCGAACGTCTGAGACCCTGAAAAACACTCGATTTACACGGCTCCAAGCAACACCTGGCCAATAGGAACAAATCTCACTTGCGATGCAAAACTTCAGGCACACAGCAGGTCATTCGCAACTCCTCGACCAATCATGTTATTCTATGTGGATGAAATTGGCGTGTTTCTGGAAGTGGCTGCGAAAGATAAGCGAAGCCGCAGCAGTGTTTACATGTCCATGATAAAGCAGGACAGTGGGCGGTCCACAACGCAAAATTGCATGAAGTTTTTTTTTCGGGAGCCAATCAGATTAAAGCAGCACAGCCTTTTTTGTCGAGTAATTTTGACGCTCTGGAAAGCAAATCGATGTCAAAATCTTGGAGCAATAGAACTTTCTATCAATGAGGGACAAGCTTTCGTATTGAAATGTTTGTAGTCAACCGTGAATTACCCAAACTCTAAACATATACCTTGAATGGATTCCAATCAATTTTCATTCAGCTTACGTGTCATCATTGTATTCTATACACAGCTACTTTATCATTTAGCCACAATACGGACCAATTAGATTTCAGATTGCCCGCTCAATAGGGGCCACGGCACATTATTCGCAAGAATAATGCGCAAACTTCTGAACTTTTCAACCAATAATGTCATTCGTAGCGGGCTCGTCCAATCAGATCTGGAGGCGGGTGGCTGCAAATCCGACGCAAGCAAGGCTATGACAGTATTTTGAACCCTATTTTGGAAATTGAAATAGAATACCTCTATGAATCTAGGCGGTAGGGCTGCACATATGGTCAATTTTGTGGAAAAGTAGCTGGCTTGAGCCAATCAGGTTGGGGGATTCTCTCTAGAAGTAGACCCCTGCTGGATCATATTCCAGAATATAAAAGGAGGACGGAATGCCAGGAAAACTGCTATTAAACATTATATATCACCGGCATGTCTACCATCAATGACCTCACCTTTTCCGACGATGAATGTGACACTTCGTTCATTGAGGAACCCAACTCATCCATCATTTACGAGGACGATGAATCATCTTTCGAAGACGACACTGATGATTTCGTGGAAGATATCAAGGATAACTTGATGGCCAACCAGATGACTAAGTTGAAGGTGCAAAACGAATTCCATGATGACCCGTACTATGACGAAGACGCCGACGAAACGTACAGTTTCATGGAAAGTGACGACAGCGACGGAGAAGAACCTGACTTTGAAGAAGTCTTTGATAAGAAAGCCAACGAAGAATTCTGGAAAAGGTGTATTTCCTTATACCAATTGCCTGAAATGAACCATTAGATACCCATCCATAGGACAATTTAACATATTTAGACACCATTGTACCAGGATTTGCGTCGGGGAGGATAATTAACATATGTGTAGAAGCTCAAAGCCATGATGAAGGGTTCACAGAGAAAGGGTGTTTTATTAGCCGGACTTCTTTCGGTTTTGATGCATCGAGATGTGATAAGAGGCATGGAAGGTTCCAATTGCCCGCCAAACCAAACCATACCCAATATCAAAAGCCTCCGTCGCGTCACGATCCAAAAATACCCCTATGGTCCAATTTCATGTTTATTCTTTTTTTGGAAAATTCTCATTGTGTTGTTGACATTCTTCACAGAGTCGCTCCACAATGGACATACAATGCAAGTCCAGCCCCCTTCGGCTCACAAAACCCTGCATTTTTTTTGGCCGACTGCCAAGTTCTCGTCTAATGTACTCTACAACACTAGTATAATAGTATGGCCCAACATTCCAAATGGGGAGTTTAGACGGGGCTTTAGACTACCTAAATGGCGGGGTGGGAGGAGAAGAGACAAATTGGTAGAGATTTAGCTGAAAAAGGAATAGGCGTCTTTTCGTTTTGAGAGACCCAAAATAAATTTAGAATAAATGGAAAAACGGGGAACTGCTTTAGGTGATATAGGTTGTTAGGGACCGTGACGCACCGCGCTGTCAAGACCGTAAATGAGTGCCAAATATGTGACACTCCCATAGCTAGTAGGCGGTGGTTTTACCATAAATACGTATGGTGGTCGGAAAAAACGTAAACACAAAAGAGACAAATCATAAGACAATGTGGCAGCCGGGACTCTCGGAACAAGGGCCCCTCTGCTGCTGAGCGGATGTCTCGGAAGCTAAGACACGCCGATTCCAGAAAGAGCGCAGATGACACAGAGTCTCCACCAATGAGCAATTTTGACTCACTGACGTCAAATGCAAATATTCACGAGGAGTTAAATCGTAAAACATGATTCAGCTGAATTTGCAGAAGGTCAGCGTACCCCGGACTCGTAATTGTAGGTCACAGGGAAGCCGGGTGGCCAGCCGTGACCCATGGGGAAAACCCGACTTCAGCCGTATCCGATGGAAACACGATCAGTCATCAAGAACAGGCTTACAAACCGTTATGAAGCAGCTTACGGGGGTTGTTTTCGCCACTATTTCGGCTGCGGTCACGGGAAAGGCTGGCTGCGAATTCGGAAGCCGGGAGCACTGTATCTCCGCCCGCAGGCATCGTACAAAGATTCTAAACACATATTCGTAATCCTCACATCTCCCGCTGCAGCTACATCCAAATACCGCCTAAAAAAGCTCAAAACTCGGCCGTTTTGACGGAGGGTAGGAACTGCTGAGGTAAGCTGGTGTACGGGTGTCCATCACGCTTACTCACCCAGCGACGGTTTTTGGCCTCTGCGGCGGCACTAATGCGTGCCGCTTACATAAGCGCCGCGGCGAACACCATTGTTTCGACTTTCTCCGACGGAAGCCGGGGGGTTGCGAGCCCCGCGCGTCTTGTTTTCTCCATTTCTCTCCCGCGTCGGCTGGTTACGGCCGGTTCTAATCCCGACCCAGCTTAGTATATAGTGCAGCAGCCGGGGCCATCTCGTAAAAACGCTTCACTAATTTCGAAAAACCTTAAAAAGGCCCTCTTCTCTTAGAAAACATTTCGGCCTTGCCCACCACCCTAGCCTTCGCCCACTTGCCTTGCCCTTAGACCTGCCTGGCACTTGACATATTTTTAGGGCTTTCACATCGCTGCTGCGTCTCTGGCTGCGAAATCGAACCATCACAAAAAAGTCAGATCGACTTATTTCTGTTAATTCATCCCTGTCTCGGCCCATCACTACGGGATCTGGACCTTTACCGAGGAACATACCACTCTCAGGGTCCTCCAGCCTTGGCATTTGCACCCATATATCACTCGGGGCTCACGTCACTTTACCGGCATCACCAACTTTTTCTTTCTCCCCATGTGGCAACAGAAGTTCGACCAGGGCCTTCAAATGACCTACTACGTCAATTCGGATGACGGCCAGGTCTCCTTTGACCTACCCTGTGAGGTCCACCAGAAGAAGAAGAGCAAAGAGAACCTTCTTCAGCGCATCACCTCGGCTCTTTCCCTAAGGCGCTCCAAATCAGAGGAGTGCCCAATCTCCAAGAACGAAGAGGAGACTTACACCACTGCGGCCACCAGCCTTCAAAACTCGCCTGAACCAAAGGAGGAGCCTTCACTGCCCATCAACATGAGCAGGGTTCCCAGTGAAAGCTATCTTTTGGAAAAGGCATTCAACCTACATCCCCATGAAGGCGATGTGGCCAGCATATCCTCTGACGAGCTGATTCAGAGTTTCTACTCCGACATTGTCGCCAACGATGTTTACTACGACTACGCCCGTCTGGTTTACTGTGACGGTGACTCGGAAGAAAAGGAACAAGGTTTCTTCAACGAGGACTACGAAAAAGAGCTCGAAAGAGAGGAGCTTCGGCTTCAGATGATCAAGGAATTGTATTGAATAGGAGAAGCAACCTGAGTCATACAGAGGTAATACCATCGTGACCTTGCTATCTCCCGAATTAAGGGCCCTGGCCCTCGGCTATTTATTCATGTATATATATCGGTGTAATGGACGGATTGGATAGAAGTTTGTAAACATGCCTCGAGCTTTTCTTGGAACCCCTGTTTGGTTTGAACTCTAGACTAGCGGTTTTGAGCTAAACTACTGGTTTGATGCATCACCCCAAGATTTGTGGTTTGGAGCCATTTGTTCTACCCTGCATTATCACGTCATGCTTTGGATCTATATCCGCGGTTGGGCACGGCCCATATTGTACAGTAAGACACTCCCGGAGCTAGCAGGAACAATTAAAGCGTGGGCACAATATTCACGTCCACCTGGGCAATCAACTTGTCGAAAACGCCCATTTCTCTGTACGTGGAAGTGGCAATCTTGGCTTCAATCTCGTTCTTCTCAGCAATCATAGTGTCGTAGTTGGCCCTGGCATCTTGTATGGCCTTCTGGTTTTCCTCCTGAGCAAGCTCCTTATAGAACACCCTGGCGTTTGTCTTGAGACGCGAGAAAGCATCGCCCTCGATAGATTCAGAACCCTTCTTCATAGATTTGAGCTCGGCTTTTCTGACGTTCGTCTGGTTCAACTTTCTGTTTCTCTCATTAACCTTCGACATACTAGTCAAAGAGCTCTTACTGGCTCTCTCGTTATCCTTGAGTAAGATCAGTTCCATCTCTCTGATACGACTTGACAATTCTTTAACCTTGTCGACATTGCCTTCTTGTCTGGCCACCCTCAACTCATCCATGGCCTTGGACTTTTCGTAAACAGCATCGTATGCTCTCATTCCGTTCTTCATCTTTTGCTTTCTTGAAATCATCTCATCAATGTCTTGGTTTGTGAGACCACTGTTCATCAAACGATGAAGATCCTCAGCCTTCTCGTTCACGTCATCAACATATGGAGGATCCTCGTTTGTTTTGCCCAATTCTTGGAGATATCTGTCAAACTCCTCGGGGGAAATATCACCATCACTGAAGACTGTGAATGGAAATTCTTTGGTTTGCTGCCTGTTTTGACTGACGAGCAAGTACATATCCGTTCTGGTCTCACCAACCAGGTATTGTTTCTGTGGATACGTAACAACCTCTTCAATTTGAACCACTCTGTACATTGGACGACGAGTTCTCTTGTCGACTCCGACGTTAATTTTACCAAACGCCTTCGAAACAGCCTCTCCGAAGTTACGGTAGTAAAGATATTTGGAAAGGAAGCTGCGGCCGATCTTGATCTTGTTGATATGAGCCGCGGAAGCCTTTTCGAAGCTGCGAGGGCGGTACTTGGATTTCCCGCTTCCCCATACGACTTCATCCTCCCCATAAGCATCCTCATCATCTTCAATCTCTTCCTCCTCCTCTTCCTCTTCTTCTTCTTCAGATTCATAATCGTCAGCAGCTTTACGGGACTTGCGTTCTCTTTGCTTTCTCAACTCGCTCAACTTGTCCAACTTGGAGGACCTAGCGCCCAGAGTTGCCTGTCGACTACTGGTTCTGGTTTTCTTTTCCGTACCTTGAGCCTGCTTCAATCTCTGCCTGAGATAAATCTTCTCATTGTATCTGTCCATTTCCTGAGATCTTTCAAAGAGAGTCTGTTCTCTTTCAATTTCGTCCATGTCGAGCAAATGCTCCCGATCTTCCTCATCCTTGTATTTTCCTTCTAGAGGATATGGGTTGGTCAATTCTTCTTCGTCCTCATCAAGAACCCTTGAATCGTCCACGTCGGCATCATCATCACCAGCATCATCCTCAAAGTCGGGTTCTTCATCCTCGTCTTCATTTTCACCTTCTTCCTCCTCTTCCTCTTCATCAGAAGATCCTGTCTTCAATCTCTTTCTGGGGCCATCATCAAGACCCGCCCTCTTGGCGACATTGTCGTTTTCCTCGCTACCAGAATCAGCTCCAGCAAGCGCCAACAAATCATCATCCAAGTCCGACATTTTGTTTGATGATGTGAGTAAAGTTAGGGTGTTGTAGTTGGCGTCGTGATATCGATGATAATACATGCAGGACCCCAAGTATAGCTCAAAGGTTATCTTGACAAAACCGTTAAAATAAATCTTAGGAAATTTCGCTTGTTGAATTTTTTTGATTTACTATTGACTAATTACTGGTGAAGCTTATAAGAGAGGCCCTTTAATGATTATCTCAGTATATGAGTGTGGACATCGTGGGTAAGCAGGTTGCAAAAGTAATAAAACTCAATACTCGCAACCCCGGACTTATAATAACACCAATAACAATTCTCATTAGATAAACAATCAAGTAAATAACTCTGATGTACACCTTGTGCCCGATTAATTTGATGATCTTGAGAGGTATTGCTTGAGCGAGAGTGAGGTAGTTTTGAGAAGAACCGAGTGGGGCTCGTGTGAAAAGGTGTTGACATAAAACAGCTAGTTCTAAGAACCGTGCTGATACGTTAATAAGCTGACTTGTAGAGATGGATCAGGCCAAAACCTATGCTACGTGATGTATCTGCAAGTTTAAGAGGTGATGGTGTCTCAAGATCATGTGTGAAGAAGTTTAGCAGCAACTTAGATCAATGCAATTCATCTTGAAACATTTTGAAAAGAAGATGAACAATTCACCAAATGTTCGGTCCACTCTATAGTCTAACAGCACTACGCTCGCATGATGTCTCAGATTACTTCCTTACCGCGAGTGAACAACTAGTGGACCCTAGTTCACAAAAAGAAAACAAAGATGACTATGGGAACGGACAAGACAAAGCTTCTTTACAAATATTGAACTGTAAACTTCATCCATGTCCTAGATCTGTGGTACCTCCCAGGGCTGGGGCCGCGACCTCACTCACGTGACCCGAGTGACTGCTCAAATTACATGCTACAACAAACGTCTCTGATATGATGTTTTATTAATATGACAACGCTATGCCGGAGCTAATACACACCCACGTAGTATGTGGCAAAACCACCACACTTAACGCAATCTTCTGGCCTCACGCTCAGACTCCATCAAGCACAAGATGTCGTTCTCTCTGACTGGACCCTTGACGTTTCTGACAATGGTTCTGGAAGAGTCCTCGAGGAACTCAACTCTGACCTGGGTGACACCACCTCTGGAACCGGTTCTACCCAAAACCTTGATGACCTTAGCAAGAGTAACTGGAGTCTTAGTGTCCTGATCTGTTAGTATATGTGTTGAAGCGAAAACAAATCGCCTGGCGAAAGGTAGGTGCTTGTCATTGAACGAATCTTCGATGAATCCGATGAATGTCTAAGGAGTTGGTCTTCATTGACTTGGATACTCCATCTATGAATATTGAACAGACTAAAGGGAAAATTGGAATTCTGATAACACGGGGATGACGGGACAGCTCAGGGGATTCGGATGCCAAAATATCATGGCGTATTTCAAACATACCATTTTGTATAAGTAGTTGTATGTAGTGGAAGGACTGTGATGGGGAGAAAAATTTGAAAAAATTTCGTGGTAGTCGCTCTACAGAGTTGGCCAAGACACGACCGCGACAGAGAGAAGACTTCGAGGGGCCAGGACGTGCGAGCCACAACACGTGAGCAGGAGCATGTGAGACATCACGAGATCAGGAGCACGTGAGTTTCTGATGATGCAGTTGCTGATAAGGCTTCTACTTTGAGCCGCCATCGAGCCAAAACCAAAGCAGATCACTACAAGTATTTAAGGGAGGTCTTGGATTATACCGGAGACTTATTGGGCAAATTTCGCCGGATATTGCCAAATTTAGATATATCTCCGTTGCCACCGTTCGGGCGCCACCGGGTCTATTTGCTACCGAAAGCCGCGCACTTATACCTCGCGTCCGCAACATTAGATCTCCTCGATAGATAACGGTTTCTGCAACATGTCTGAATCAAAACCAAAGAAAAAGAGTGAGTTCAACGACGGCAGGAAGCAACCTGTGTACAGATGGCGAGATTCCTTCTCTGATTGGTGGAAACAAAGCTGGAGTCTGGAATACTCCGACTCGAAGGTTGAATCACGGCTACTCTCATTCTTGCCGTTTTGGCCCGATCCTGATTCCAAGAGACAGGCAAAATTCATTGACACGGATATTGGCAATGGAAACCATATCCACGAGTTTTATATTGAAAACACCGAAAAACCAGCCAATGGCGAAGCCGCATTTCCAAATCAAGTGAGCGATTTGGTGCTTGTCCACGGTTATGCAGCATCTTTGGGGCTTTTCTTCGAGAATTTTGACTCGATATCGCTGGTGCCAGGCATCAAAATTCATGCTATAGATCTTTTGGGCTTTGGGTTGTCTTCTCGCCCTTCTTTCCCCAAACTTCCTTGCGACACCAAGGAGGATATTTATAAGATCGAGGACTGGTTCATAGACGCTTTAGAGAAGTGGCGTCAGGAACGAGGCATCAATAGGTTTGTGCTTGTGGGTCATTCCTTCGGCGGTTATTTGAGCTGCGCTTATGCACGGAAATATAACAAAGAAACCGAAGGAAAGCGCTTGATCGAGAAGCTTGTGCTTTTGAGCCCTGTCGGCGTGGAAAGAAGCAAATACTCCTTGTTAAAGGGCGCCGAGCTACCTAAAGAACAGATTTCGGCAGATGCCAGGTCTGCTGAGAATAAAGAGGAACCCACTGTCCCGCTCCAGAGGGAGTTTTCGGCTAATCAAGCTGACATCATCGATGGCAAAGAGCCCAAGACGATCAACCACCCCGGCTCTGCTACAGAAGCTCAAGAGAATTTTGGAGCTGATTGGTTTATCTGGCTCTGGAGGCATCACGTTTCACCATTTTCCATCGTGCGTAAAAGTGGCCCTATGAGGTCGAAATGGATATCCAACTGGACGGGCCACAGGTTCTCGCACATCTACTTGGAAAACCCCGAGCGGTATCAAAATATTCATGATTACTTCTACCGTATATTTAATGGGTCAGGCAGTGGCGAGTACGCTATAACGAGAATCCTTGATCGTGGCGGTTTAG